AACCACAATCTAAACATTTATAGGTGACATCGACCCATAATATCTATTCGTATGCAAGTAATTGAAGAATAAAAGAACGTGTATAGCCATTGATATGTATGAAAGTTCCTTGTATACTTCTGATCGGTGTTGAAGTTCCTTGTATATTTATGATCGGTGTTTAATTGTTCAATAATATAACTATTTCTACGAGCATGTTCAAAGTTACAACCTAAGCCATTAAGAAAATAGCATGGCTAGATCACATATGAGTTACCTTTGTTTGGTATGATGCACTTTTATTTGTTGGATTACGAAATATATGTTTGCTATGGAAGTTGAGTTCATGTTGAATTTGAAATATTGTTGATTTTATCACTATGGGATGATTTTGATTCAAAAGAGTGCGGTTGCAGTGTTGTTGGAGTGCAGCTAGAGACGATGTTGCCGTGTGGCCGTTGACAAAATATACATCATCTGTTGGAGCAGCGGCGCCACGTGACAACTATTTTTACATTATCTATTGCAGTTGGGTGTTTTCTGATGATATAAAAACTACCCTTTTATGATATATAGTTTACTCCAACCATTCTGATTATATATTTCACATTATCTATTGGAGATGCTCAACCGAAAGAACCAGAAGAACTGAAAGAAGTAGAGCCGCAATTGGCGTTTTGGCTCCCGGAAGCATTTGATTTCGCACGAAACAGTAAAATCAAAGGAAATAACACTTTTTTAAAAAAAACTCTGATTTTTTCTATAGATGTCTAGCAATTTTTATGCGAAACGGAGTAGCAGTGTTTCGTCGGTAAAAAGATAATTTTGGGTGTAACATTTGAGGGGAATTGGATTTCCACGCAGCAAGCAAATGTTTGACTGGAGGGGAATTCTGAAGAGAGGCGAGAGACAGAGACCACACCCACACACTTATCGCCAGAGCACCACCACCTCGACAATGGCCGCCGCTTTCTCCTCCTCCTCGTCGCCATCCGCCCACCACCCATTCCCTTTCCCGGCCCGTCCAAACCCGCCCACAGCCCACCGCTTCCGCCTTGGCATCCGCCTGGCCGCCTCCTCCAGGTGGGTGAGCCGCGGCAGGGCCCCGCCGGAGCGCGGCGCCGGCGCGGGCAACTCCATATGGGTCAACCCGGCCGCCCCGTCCCGCCCCGGCCAGGCGGGCCAGAAGCTCCGCCGCCTGGTCCAGCTCGGGGACCTGGACTCCGCGCTCCGCCTCCTCGGCGCCTCCCCGCCCGCCTCCGCCGACCCGCCGGCCGTCGTCGCCTGCAACATCCTCATCAAGAAGCTCTGCGCGCAGCGCCGCCTCGCCGACGCGGAGCGCGTGCTCGACGCGCTCAAGGCGGCCGGCGCGGCGGACCCCGTCTCCCACAACACCCTCGTCGCCGGCTACTGCCGCGACGGCCGGCTGGCGGACGCCGAGCGCGCCCTCGCGGCGGCGGCCCTCTCCGGGGCCGCCAACGTCGTCACCTACACCACGCTCATCAACGGCTACTGCCGCTCCGGCAGGCTCGCCGACGCGCTCGCCCTCATCGCCTCCATGCCCGTCGCGCCGGACACCTACACCTACAACACCGTGCTCATGGGCCTCTGCGGCGCCCGGCAGTGGGGGGACGCCGAGGAGCTCATGGCGGAGATGGTCAGGAACCATTGCCCTCCCAACGAGGTGACGTTCGCCACGCAGATCCGCGCTTTCTGCCAGAACGGGCTGCTCGACCGCGCCCTTCAGCTGCTCGACCGGATGCCCGGGTACGGATGCACGCCCGATGTTGTCATTTACAGCACCCTGGTGAACGGGTTCTCGGAGCAAGGGCGTGTGGACGATGCCATCGAGCTGCTCAACGGCATGCTGTGCAAGCCCAACACTGTTTGTTACAATGCCGCGCTGAAAGGTTTGTGCATCGCTCAGCGTTGGGAGGATGTCGGAGGGCTGATTGCTGACATGGTTACGAAAGACTGCCTGCCGAATGAAGCGACATTCAGCATGCTAACCAGTTGCTTGTGCCAGAATGGGCTGGTTGACTGTGCAATGGATGTTCTTGAGCACATGCACAAGTATGGATGCAGACCCGATGTTGTCATTTACAACACGCTGATCTATTCCTTTTCGGAACAAGGGCGTGTGGAGGACGCGCTCAAGTTACTAAACAGCATGCCATGCAGTCCTGACGTCATTAGCTTTAATGCCGCGTTGAAGGGTTTATGCAGAGCTGAGCGATGGGATGATGCTGAGGATCTTATAGGGAAGATGCTTAGGGAGGATTGTCCCCTAATTGAAATGACTTTCAATATACTCATTGATTCATTGTGCCAGAGCGGCCGGGTAAACTACGCAATTGAAGTGTTTGAGCAAATGCCAAACTTTGGATGTACACCTGATATTGTCACATACAGTAGCCTTATCAATGGCCTTTCTGAACAAGGGCTTGTCGAATCAGCCATTGAGTTGTTTCGAAGCATGCCATGCAAGCCTGATATCTTTGGCTACAATGCTGTGCTGAAGGGTTTGTGCAAAGCTGCGCGATGGGAGGATGCTGGGGAGCTTATATCTAAGATGGCTAGAAAGGATTGCCCCCCAAATGAAATCACATTCAATATACTAATCAATTCCCTGTGCCAGAAAGGGCTTGTTGATCGTGCAATTGAGGTGTTCGAGCAAATGCCAAAGTACGGAAGTACACCTGATATTTTCACATACAATGCCCTTATCAATGGCTTTTCTGAACAAGGCCGTCTGGATGATGCCCGCAAGATATTAAGCACTATGTCATGCAAGCCTGATGCCGTTTCCTATAATTCTGCATTGAAGGGTTTATGCAGAGCTGAACGATGGAAGGAAGCAGAGGAGGTTGTCGCTGAGATGCTTAGAAAGAAGTGCCCTCCAAATGAAGTAACATTCAAGTATGCTAATCGATTATTTATACCAAACAGGGTAACTTGAGTCAATCTTTTGAATCTCCTAAGCAAGAGCCTGAAGGATGCTCTGAGTTATGAATCAGTGCACTTGTGCAGGCCTGCCACAGTCTGCTCTTATGCTTCATCAAAGGATTTGTGTAGAAATGAGCAATATGATAATGCCAGAGTTTCTGGTTGAGATCACCGTGGAAAGGGTAATCCAAAAAAGGCCTGTTTTGGTTAGGCTGGAATTAGCCAGTATCATGGCCCGATCCATGCTAGCGACAGAAAACATGGGGTAGGCAACCGGAGGCGGTGGATGCCTACATCTCTCTGGCAAACTTTTCATTTATCCTCTTCCTGCAATTTGCACAGCCGAACTGAGACAAGCCCCACCTACTTCTCTGCGCACATGACCTCTGGTGGCAACGACAACTGTGGCTTGGTTCTCTCCTGTAAGTACCTAAAATCCTCCGAAAATCTAGGGTTTGATATTCCATCTCTCCCTTCCTTCTGATTCTTGTGTTGAGTGCCCCTGATTCTCCTCCTTCCCCTGCTTGAAAGAATTGGGGGAATGGATCTTGGGCTGGAACTTGCTTATTCTGTATTGATATGATGTACTGGTACTGCATGTTGTCGCTTTTAGTAGACATGCTTCTTTTTACTGATTCATGTGCGTCTCCTGTATTGGTTCAGAGTAGAATCAGCTATGTACCTTACTTGCTCTGTGAAGAGAAACTGTCTTTAGTTGAACAAGTGCTGCCAATGCCATTCTTAGCATTCATGTTACAAGAAAACATCGTGTTGTGTAGGTGTGCCAGCTTTGCTTGCTTTCCTTCTCAAAGCATACACCTGCTTAAAGCATCCTTATTTTCTCGCAGCTTCTTATCTGTTTGATTCACTGTTTCTGCAGATATTGCAACTACTGCTAGCAGGAGGGAGCTTCTTGGTTAAGGAACAAAATATATTTTGTAGTAAGGAGAAATTCAGTTGCAACAACTAAATATTTGTCAGTTACCAAGTGTGCTCAGATGTTCTATTCTATCTGAAATGGTTGAAAATTTTGAAAAGCATTGTACTTCTGAGTAATTCTGAAAATTCATGGTTTCATTCATATCTGGGTGATTCTGCTCATGTACCTTTTCCATGGGAATTCTGGATGTTGTATATGTGTTAGAATCCAAATAGCTGCTCGGTCAGCTTCTGAAGATGGGAAGTTCAGAGTTCAAGCAAACAAAGGTATCTTTCTGAAACAGCACTTCCATTTCTTTGTCTCCTTAATCTTGTGCAGTTACTTGACAGTTCTAGACTTTTCAAGTGGGGCTCTACAATATTCTTTTTGTTTCAATCATTTCTTCGATGATCCGCTATGCTTTTCTTGATTGTACCAATCCATTATATATTCAGCAATTAAACTTAAAATTTGAACAGAATAGTAGAAAGGAAAATAATGAGCCTGCTGTGTTCTCTGTACAGGAAGACTGTAAAACAATGTAATCTTATGGAAATTTGACCTCCCAAACTAATCCATTGGAGATTACCCCATTTCTATATCAGACAAAGAATTTACAGTGCGCTCTTAAGTTATACTACATTATACTAATAACTAGACTTGGGTAAAAGACTAACTTACAAAATATTCAGCATTCTAATGTTTCTGTTTTTGAGAAAGCGCAAAAGCCTCATGTTTCATTCCATTGAAAAGTTAGAAGAGACACAGTACGCCCCAAATGGGCCAAAAAAGAAAACCATTACAGTCTGACCCGTGGGCTTCTAGAAATGAGAGGTGGTATGTGATTATGTTTGTATCAACATTAGAAATTATTTTAAGACATGATGGCAGAAAGCTTCAAAATCAATAGTAAACAGGATTTGTTAGCATCCACAGCTCTCAGTTGCAGAACAGAATCATTTGGCTGGCGAAAGAAGCAATAGCCTGAAAAGGAAAACCAACCTATTGGGATGCTAAACTTCACCAAAAAGAACTCATCGATGTTTGAGAATCAATTATAGTCTACCAAAAAGAAATAGCACCGTATGAAAAACATGAAAAAAAGACTGGTGAGCAGGGCCACAGTTCAGAACCTCTTCTATGTTATGGTTTGATGCGACATAACCATGCTACTCACACTGTGGCCTGTGGGTGGCTCAAACTGAAAAGATGGGGATAAAATGTTGAACAAATAAGAAGTTCTGTGTTCCTTGTGGGTTGTATCTTGTTTTCCAATACATAAAAATGCCAGCTCTAAACCATGAGTATCCAACAAAAGGAAACATGCCTGATTAAATGAAGAGCATGTGGTAGCCAGCAGCATTCCACTAGATAACAGCTTGAGCATGCAATTGTGTCAAGATCCACCACCAAACTACACCATTCTTTATTAGCCCTTGCTGGCAATAAGTGGAACATGACAATGTGATGGTTCATCTCAAGGACAGCAGACATAATAAAAAACTGCAGTGAACATGAGACGACTTTAGTGTTGTGATCTCTATGCTTCTGTCAAGATCTTAAGGCATAGCAGACAGCATCAGGGAGATGTAATGGCATGATTCTTCATGTTTACTAAGAAAAGCATCAAGCTCAGAGATGGCTTTCCACCTAAGATCGATAAGTTTGCCTTCTAGGCCTCACGTCAGTGAGACCGAAGTCGAGCAAGAACTCCACAGCCTAGAAGCAAGCATCTCTTCCTCCAATTCCATCAGCACGATGTGCGTTGGTCTCAGGAGTCTTGCAAACATCTACGATGCTCTTGAAGAGATGATTTGCCTACCAAGCAACCAGGTTTGCTCCTCCCAGCAGAGGAACATATTGGATGGTGAAATTGAAGGTTCTCTCGAGCTGCTAGATCTGTGCAGCGCCATGCAAGAGATCTTCGTCGAGGTGAAGGCTATCATCCAAGAGCTGCAAGTGGCTCTAAGGAAAGGCAAGGATGCCGCCTCTCAAGCCAAGATCCAATCTTACACCCGCTTGGTAAAGAAGGCCAAGAAACATTTCAAGAAGACTGCGAAGAAGGCTCCTGCAGCTTTCAGGATAGTCATGCTGTTGGTCAAGGCCAGAGAGATCTCTGTCTCTCTGCTGGACTCCACACTCCATCTCTTGTCGAAGCAAATCGAAATGCCTAAACAGTCTCTTGTTTCCAAGGCATTTCACAAGAAGAAGGCAGCTGTTTGCAAGGAGGAGCAATTGTCAGGGCTAGAGTGCAGTATCGGAGATCTCGAGAGCGGAGTAGGACATCTGTTCAGGAAATTAGTCCAGAGCAGAGTTTCTCTACTCAACATCCTTAGCTCGTAGATACTCCCAAGTCACTCTTGACACTCTGATTGGCATCCACCTTTTAAGGAATAGCTGATCTTCATACAGTTTTCCCATATTTATACACGAGATAGTATAAATGTAAATGATACTATAGAAAGAGAAACAGAAGTTTTGATCCATTTCACCATTTCATGCTTGATGTGTGTTTTGTGAGTCTACTATACTTTATTTTAATGTCCTTAGTTAGTGGATCTTGCTTCTTGTGCATGAAACATGCCAGATCAAAGTCACAAGGTCTCAACTTGCTGTTAGCAGAATCAATCAATTTTATTATCCAGATTCTTTACCACCACCACATGTCCACATGGCTGTGCAGTCTGGCACTAGAATTATATATATAGTTTCATATAGCAAAGTCTAAACTAGTACTCTCAAGTTTTAACATCGTCGACATCTATATCATTTAAGCATTTAAGGTGAAAAAACAACAAAAACATTTATCTTAGAAGCACAACCTTTTGCATGTCCTACAGGATTAACAATAATCTGAGCAAAGCGTAATCCAACCTTTTGCACTGATATTGTCATGTACAGTAGCCTTATTAATAGCCTTTCTGAACAAGGGCTTGTGGAATCGGCCATTGAGTAATTTCAAAGCAGGCCATGTAAGCCTGGTATTTTTTGTTTCAGTGCTGTGGCAAAGGGTTTGTGCAGAGCTGCGCGATGGGAGGAAGCTGGGGAGCTGATATCCGAGATGGCCAGAAAGGATTGTCCGCCAAATGAAGTGACATCAATATACTAATCAATTCCTTGTGCCAAAAAGGGCTTGTCGATCATGCAATCTAGGTGCTCGAGCAAATGCCAAAGTATGGAAGTACACCTGATATTTTTTTTGACCGGAAAGTACACCTGATATTTTCATATACAATGCTCTTAACAATGGCTTTTCTGAACAAGGCTGTCCGGATGATGCCCGCAAGTTATTAAGCACTATATCGTGCAAGCCTGGTGCCGTTTCCTATAATTCTACATTGAAGGGTTCGTGTAGAGCTGAACGATGGAAGGAAGCAGAGGAGGTTGTGGATATGCTTAGAAAGAAGTGCCCTCTAAAGGAAGTAACATTCAATTATGCTACTCAATTGCTTATACCAACCAGGTTAATTTGAGTCAACCTTTGAAATCTCTTGAGAAAATGCCAATAATATAAAGTTATGCTTGGTCATCTACACTGCCCCCGCGAAGGGCGCTTTTGTAAGCAAGAGTCTCAAGGATGCCCTGAGTTATGAATCAGTGCACTTGTGCAGGCCTGCCACAGTTCGCTCTTATGCTTCAAAGGATTTGTGTAGAAATGAGCAACATGTAAATGCCAGAGTTTCTGGTTGAGATCAGCGCCGGGAGGGTAATCCAAATAAGGCCTCTTTTGGTTAGGCTGGATATAGCCAGGATCATGGCCTGATCCACGCCAGTGACACAAAACGTGATGTAGGCAACCGGATGAGGGGGAGGGGGGGGCAGAGTCGACAGAGCCTACACCTCTGGCAAAATTTTAGTTTCTCCTTTCCCCATCTCTCCCTTCTGATTCTTGTGTTGAGCGCCCCTGATTCTCCTCTTTCCCCTGCTTGAAAGAATTGGCGGGCATGGATCCTGGGCTGGAACTAATTTATTATGTATCAATATGATGTACTGCATATTGCCGCTTTTACTAGACATGCACATGCCTGTTTTTACCAATTCATGTTTGTCTCCTGTATTCAGATTTCAGAGTAGAATCAGCTATGTACCTTGCT